AGCTAACAGCTGCTAACCAGTTCTGAGCCTTCTTTAATTCAAATCAAAACCATGGCCTTTAATTTAGAAAAAAGTTGATCATGATGTGATGATACGTTTCCTGATGTCAATTCTTTTAAAGAATACTTCTTTAAAGTATTTGAGAAAACATTTGAGAAAGCATTTGAGAAAACAAATAGACAATGTTCCTTGCTCTCAAGAAAATAATTATTTGGAGACACGCAGCAAGTGCCCAGTGGTTTTTTAATATGATATAACTTAGAAGGAGTATAAGCAATATACATTAACTAGTGTTAGACTGCATATTCATTCTCTCACAGATAGATACTGAGTGCCTAAATCAACGTTAACAACATAGAAGGAAACGTTACCATCCATATAAATAACACATTCATACGGGTATCATGTTATCCTTAATTCTTTCTAAAATTGATGTTTTTACTGCTTCCCTTCCCCTCTGATTTAATCAGACCTACAAGTTGTTAATTTTCTTTCCTCCTTGGTGTCTTCAGAGAAACAATCACAAGGAACATGACATGGAATCCTCTTATAACAAAACTGTTTTGTTACTTTATTTATGGCTAGGATTTGAGACACATGGTATTTCAAATTCCCTTATTTATTAAGAAACAGAGCATAATATTAATACTAACGGAAATATCCATATTGCTTACCTTGTTGTGTTTGTGAGTTCCGTAGTCCCAGCAGTTGTTTTGGAGTATTGTTGAAGTGCTTTTTCATCTGGTTTTATCTGGATATTTCGATGGAATGTGATGACTTACAGGCTTTGCTGGTCTCTGCTGGGTCCCTCTGCCTGTCTGTTTTATAGGTTATTTCTCCATGGCTTAGTCCTCAGAATTCTTGTATTTCCTATATTAATATAAACTTAGTACATAGGTTTGAGTAATACAATTTGAAAGACTAATAAAGTGATAAAACATATTTTTAATTTCCTGTTCTCGAATGAACTTTTTATTGCTGAAAAGTGCTATACAACTGAACTAATTCAATTCAGTAGAGAAGATGACTCTTGGATTGCAGCTCTCATTTTGGGATTTCATCTTGTCAACTATTCCAAATATTAAGTTTCCTTTAGCTTCTGTTGCATTTGTACCTCTAACTGTTGCTAATTGCTTTGTTTAGGTTCTCAAGAGATATAAATCCAGATATTTGCAGCCAAATGTTTTATTCTATTTTTTGCTCTTCTTTTCAGCTGGGAGCTCTACTCTTTATCATTACCTCCCTCTTATGTTAGTGAATTGTCTTGACAACATAAAAACCTTAAAGACCAACTTGACTCCTTTCCCTTAAAGCTTAGATCAGAATCTTCCATGCTGCTTCCTCTGGATTCTGTCCTAATCGCCATCAATTCCTTGACAGCAAAGACACCTCAGAAGCAGGGGCATCACTCAGCCTCAGTATGACTTAGTGGAAAGACCACAGGCTTTAGAATAAGACAGTCCTGGTTTTGTGTACCCAAAGTGCCACTGACTAGTCATGTAACCCTGGAAAAGTCACCTAACTTAAGTTTTTCCATTAGTGTAATGTAAGTGTTAATTCATAACTTGTGGATTGTCATAAAGGTTAAATGAGATAGTGCACATAAAGCACTTGGCATTCTGGCTGATGTGTGGCGACATCTTATGAAATGGTAGCTATTCTTCTTATACTAACAGCAGTATCTCCTGGTGTGGGTGAGGGGGCCGTGGGTCGGTAGAGGATACAGGACCAAGATGCCAGACAGGTGACTTGTAAAATCTAAAGGTGCTGCCCTATGGTTTCAAAGAAGGGCTAAATGGGGTAATTTTTTGCTTTTGTCCCAGTGGCTCATTTTGCCTTTGATGTATCCTAGGGCCCCACCGTGTAGGGATGTGTGGCCAGTGTATCTGAACTAGGTATAGATGAAACATTGGATTTCAACAGATGTGTGGGGGTCGGGTAATGGAGGAGATAATCCAGACGGAAGGAACACTGAGAGCAAAACAGCTCAACAAGAAGTTGTAGAGCATTTTCAGGGAGCAAAGTTAATCCACTGTGCTGCTGATACAGGGTATGTATGAGAGCAGTTAAGGGAAGGTAAATAGTGGAAAATTGAGAGCAGTTTGTAGATGGCCTTAAATGCCATGTTAAGAAATTGTATTTTATTCTGTAGGTAATATTGAACCATTGACTTTTTTTTTATATGGGGTAATATTCATAGATTTGGATTTCAAGAAGGTCACTTTATATAAACTAGATTAGTGAGTATGGAGAATAAAGCATAGATCACCAATCCAATGTCCACAATAGCTAGATAAGAGATGTCAGTCCCCCTATCTTAAAACAGTTGTATTTCATTTCTGAAGAGAGTATTGTTAAGGAGTACTATTTAACCCACTTGTTCCTAACGTGGTGTTTGTTTCTCTTCTGTTGCTACCCTTCTTAACATTTACTGACTACTCAGCTGCTCCTTTCTCTCCCACCACATAACTGGACTGGCCATAATTGAGGTATGAACAGAAACAACGCAAAAAAGCTGGGCACATTGGGCTAGTCCCCTTTCCAGAATTATCAGAGAAAAACTAGAAATAGTATTGACTTTATAATAAGCCTCTTCAATATAAAGATAACCAACTTGAACTCCTTAAATCCTCCTTGACTAAAGTCAATATTGACGTCAAATCAATAGTCGGGACTGAACCTTAAGCAGGAGGCAAATTTTCCTAGAGTAGGTTTTGGAGTCAGGGTGGTGGCAGGGAATCAGGAAGGCTGATTTGACAAGTTTGACTGCTGGGTTGAGGGTGGCGGTGAATGAGTGAAAGGTCAATGATGTATCCAAATTTATCTGCATTCAGCTTCTCTCTTGATGGTTTCACGTAGAATGCTTTCCTTCCCCCTTTATTCTAAAGCTCATTCCTTCTTTTCCTGAAAAGCTCTACTCAACAAACCATATATTGCATGGCTCTTTCCAAGAATAATCTGCCTGGTTCAGTTAAAATTGTTTCAACAACTCACAAGCACTTATGAATATTGTATTAAAAAAAATCAAACAAACCTAAAAACAAATCAACTTTTTGACCCTATAGTATCCCTTTTCTCTCCTCTTCACAGTCAGACTTCCCAACTGGGTAGTGGGCAGGCACTGTCTTGACTTCATTGTCTTCATTAATTTTTCAATATTTGTTACCTAGCTTCTATACATATTCTCATCTCTTGCAAAATTGCTCCGTAGCATCACCAATGGCATTGTAATGACTAAACTTAATAACTAACATACGGCATTCATCTTATTTGCAGCATTTGCAATTGTTGGCCAGTTCTTACTTTAAACCACCTTCTCTTAGAGATGTGTGATTCTGTTGGGTCCCCTGTCTTATCAAACATTCCTTCAATTTCTATATGGGCTCTTCTTCATTCATATGCTTGCTAAATATTGATGTTTTCTTGGGTTCCATGTTTAGCTCTCTTTTTACTCAATATATTCTTCCTGGGCAATTTCATTCAATTTCATGGTTCTCTTACCACTTGGTTGTTGATGTATCCCAAATATATAGCTGCTATTCAATAATTTTTCCTGTACTCGAAGTACCTATCTCTAACCAGCCTTCTAGACATCTCTGTGTGGATGGCTTATAGTACCTGAAAAAGTTATGAATAAGATGTATTTCATTATCTTGAGTTGTCAATCCACTCTTCCACCACGTCTTATTTTTTCCAAACCGAGTTGTCACATACACTTGTAAGAAATATGACAGAGAGATTTCTTGTATACTTTCCCCAGATTCTCCTAATGGTAATATCTTGCAAATAACACTCCCAGAATATTGACTTTGACATAATCCACTAATCTATTCAGATTTATTCAGATTTACTTATACTCATTTATGTTTATATTAAATTCTACACAATTTTGTCACCTGTGTAAGTTTATGTTTCCACCCACATAGTCAAGTTACTGAACATTATAACATTCAAGGATCCCTGGCCACAAGTCTTTTGTCAGAAGTGTGTTTTGCAGTGTTTTCTCCCAGGGTATGGGTTGGCTTATGGTTCTTCGTAGGGCATCTTTGTAGAGCAAATATTTTTAATTTTGGTGGAATCCAACTTATCATTTTTTTAAAGGGATGTGCATTTGGTGTCATATCAAATAAATAATTGGCTAACCATAAGTTATAAACTTTTCTCTTGTATTTTATTCTAAGAGTTTTAAGGTTTTATATTTTTATATTTATGTCTATGTTCCATTTTGAGTTAATTTTTATATATAATATAACATAAATCAAGATTCATATTTTTGCATATGGAGATCCAGTTGTTCCAGTACCATTTGTAGAAAAAAACTTAAACTTTCTCTATTAAGTTGCCTTTATATCTTTGTCAAAAATGAATTGACCACATTTGTGGGTATATTTCTAGACTTTCCATTCTGTTATGTTGGTCTACACATCACCAATACATACACTGTCTTGACTACTATACTTTTATAGTATATCTTAATATTAGTGTGAGTCCTTCAATTTTGTTCCTTTTAAAAATTTTGTCTGTTCTTGTTCCTTTACATTTTCATGTATATTTTAGGATTTGCTTTTCTGTATCTATAAACAAACTTGATGGTATTTTGATTGTGATTGCATTAACTCTATGGATTAATTTAGGGACAATTGATGTCTTAATTACATAGAGTCTTCCAATTTATGGACAGGGTTTGAATTGACGTCTTTATTATACAAAGTCTTAATCCATGGGCAGGGGTTTTCTCCATTTATTTAAGTTTTCTTTGATTTTTTTTTCTTAGTTCAGAATTTCATATATTTTTATATCTTAGTGTACAATTATGCACATTTTTTAGCTTTGTTCGTAAGTATTTCATTGAGAGGATGTTATAAACGATACTTCTAAAATTATTGGTTTCCTATTGTCCATTCCTAGTGAATAGAAATATAATGGATATTTGTATATTGATCTTCTATCTGATAAATTTACTTATAGCTCATTTGGACTACTGTTTTGCTTTGCAGTGCTGAAACTGCTTTGCTGGAGAAATGTCTTCAGAATCAGAACAGGATAAAGAGAGGCTGGTTCAAGCTGCCAAAATGTTCTTCTTTCACATAAAAGATCTTACTTCCTTCACAAACACACTGACCGAATTGTTTAACCACAACATGAATACTCAGATCCTCTCGATGGCCGTGAAAGAAAATACTAACATTAAGGATTTCTTTGAACAAATGCTCAGAATTTTTAAGGAGATGCAATCTGTAGTGAATGAAAAGTACAACAAAATGCAAAAGGAGTCTTTATGTTCCAAGTTTGCAACAGCTATGTGCTCTATGGTTGAGAAGAGTACCAATGTAAAGGAGTTGCAAGAGTCAGCTAAAGAAGTATTCAAAAGCGTCCATACACCAGTCATTGTCTCTGTGCTGCATAATGGTAACATCCTTGGAAGTTTGGAATCTTCTCTTTCACTCTTGATGCAATTCCCCATTATGAATCTTCAATTAAGTGACTTCTATAGGGAAGACAACAAAGAACAATCAGAAGTTACCACATCTGAAAAAAACACGAGTCCAGGTCCTTCCAAAACCACTATGGTAGACATCTTGAAAAAGTTGCAGGATGCGCTAAAAGCCAAGACTGCCAACAATCCCACAGAGTCAGCAGCAGATTTACTGGAAAAAATTGTCAAGGATATGGGACCAATCTTAGAGATCCTCCAAAAAGCCATCAAGAGTATAGAAACTGATATTTCTATGTTTAAGAAGGTCAATGACAAGTAGAGGTGGAATATTCATTTCTGTCAGAAAATAAATTCAAATCCCGTGATTTTTCATAGTGCTTTCTAAGATCTTTTGAAGCCAGATATGTGGTATGTTAGAGATAAGTGCATAAAAATCATCTGGCAAACAATTTACCTATAGTTTTGCTTTATTAAAATAAAAAGAAATGATCAAAGAAAGTCTGCTTGAAATGGCAATTCCTCAGAATATATTGTTGAAAAAAATCAAGGTGTTATTACATTTGAGAACGTTTCTAAATATTATATTTCATCTTAAAGCATAGTTAGACCCTAAACTAATTTCCACTCTTAAAAATTCTATTTCCAGTTACTATAGTGTGAAAGAGTCCAGGTAAATGTAAATACATATTTTATTTATTTATTTTTATTTCAGTTTATTATGGGGGTACAAATGTTTAGGTTATATATATTGCCTTTGCCCCATCTGAGTCAGAGTTTCAAGTGTGTCCATCCCCCAGACAGTGCGCACCAAATCATTAGGTGTGAATATACCCATCCCCTCCTCCGCTTGCCACCTGCTTAACACCCGATGAATGTAATTACTATATGTGCACATAATTGTTTATCAGTTAGTACCAATTTGATGGTGACTACATGTGGTGCTTGTTTTTCCAGTCTTGTGATACTAGGTAAATGTAAATATTATCATTAGACAATCTATTAGATATCTGTTTAGGTCTGGGAACATAAAATAAACTCCATTTTTATCTCTCATATACCAATTTTTATATACTTCACTGCCTTGACTATCATAAGCCATCGCTAAATATTTTTGATGATTTATCCAGAAGTAAATAAGAACAGTGAATGAGCAATTATAAAATTTTCTTTCTTATGTGAGTAAGACCAGAGTAGATAGTTTATTCTCATTTGCCTCCTATTGGGGTCTTATGATTAGGAGATATTAGAGGTTGAAAAATGGAGGTACTCTAACCTTTCACAAAGGAAAGACCACAATACTTGCAGAAGTAGGATTACTGAGATATGCTTGCATTTGGGAAGAAGGGTTAGGAAAGTCCATTTGCCTACTGTAAGTCTTTGGCTCTCATGCATCATAAATGAGTGTATACTCTCAATATTGCCCTTGAAGTTACTATTTCACATGATAGGAACTTCGTTGAGAGTAAGGAAAGAGATAATAACTCCAAGCCAAGGCTATCATTGACTGTAATTACTACTGTTATTTTAAATAAGGAATCCCCTTCCACCTCCAGACAAATAGTAAGACTTTCAGAATGTCTTGTGGGGATGGGCAAGTGGATTTTGACCATTTCCAGAGCTTGGAAGTCCTGGAAAAAAATGATTTCAATATATTAACTCTGCATTTTCTCTCAGCACCAAAGCTGAAAGCTTGCTCATTTGTAGTAGGTTTCTATTAATAACTCTTATTTTGAGGAGGATCTTGAGCTGATTCATTTGCTACTCTCCCCTTATATATATACTCTCACTTTGCTGCTTTTTCTGAACTTGTATGTGTCCAGGGTTTCACTCTTCTTAGTCTTAGGATTGTGCCCCAGGATGTTGCAACAGCTAGGAGGATACACATGGAAATGAATGAGATGAGGACCAGGAAGAGTCTTGGAGCAGAGTCTTTCTGTGAAATGACTGGAAGAATGACTGGTAGTTGTTCAAGGAAGTCCTCACCCAATACCAGTGGGAATGGCCGGTGGGGTAGTCCTTTGATGTTAGAGGTAGGTGGTGCCCACTTCAATACAGATGGGTGGTCTTCAGGTGCTGGTGGCTCTGGTGAGGCTGGCCATCACTCACAGTCTCTCCCACATTTTCCCACCACTGGACACCACCAGTCTGCTCGCTCTGACGACGTCTTGTCTGCCGCTGCTGCTTAGCTTGTGGATGTATTGTGGGAAAGCTCTAGTCTCAAGCCTATTACTCTCATTGAATCTTTCTCTCAAATGCTTTGGTTTTGGGTTCCTCTCATTTTCTCTAAAGTCCTTCAGGTCCTGAAAAACAAAGCGCAATAGACTCATGTGTTTTTATGTTATGCTTAGTCTCATTCCTCCTCCGAGGCCATGAGCACAGGATGGCCGAGCTGTTTGAATGAGCATGAGTGGGGAGGAAAAAGTGAACTGCCACAAAACAAAACAACAAAATCCTTTAGTATTTGTATACCTTTTTTCCTACTTTTTATCAGTTGCCAATGTTTGCCTCATCCTGGTATCTCTGAAAACACCTAGTTCAATAAAAGTTTGTTGAATTTTACCAAATCAGGAAAGAACTAGTTTATTCAGTGTAAATCAGTTTGATTAAGATCATTAGACAACCTGATCCCCCAAACAAAATTCTAGTGAAATTTTCTTTCACTAGATTTTGTTTGTTTGTTTTAGAGAAGAGGTCTATGTTGCCCAGGCTGGCCTTCTTTTTTTTT